ATGAGACCAAAGACTCGGGATACAAAGTGCATTTGTTGTTGTGATTGAATTCCATTCCTAAACTGTTGTTGGTAGTTAGTTGCTAAGGAGTCATTCTGACACGTGGGGCTCCCAGGTGCATCGAGTGGACTGGCTCCAGAGGATGGACAAGGCTGGGGCCTTTCGGAAGCAGGTCACCAGGCCTTCCTTCCAGGGTGCCTCTGGGTGCAGCAGTCAAGCCAGCAACTTTTCACAGCCAGCAATCAAAGGCTTCAATTTAAGCCACTCAGCTGACCTAAAAGTGTTATTTGTGATTCATTAATGAATAAACGATCATATTTTCAAAGCCATGTCAATGAATGGTAAAACACCTTGAGGGAACGAGTGGCTGGATTCTGCCTTTCGGGGTCACTAAAGTCCATTGGCCTAGCATAATCTACAAAGACAAGGATCTGCCTCCTTGTTGAGTAGCAAGCGGGGTCTTAAAAGTTCATAAGCAGCCATCTATGCAATGATGCAATATGCAAAGTGCAAAAAAAATGCACCTATGCAAAGGTGCAATGATTGGTTTTTCTCTGTTTGGAGAAAGGAGTAGTGAAGAAAATCAAAGTTTAGCAGGAGATTGTTATTGATTTCATTTCTTGAGATGGGCTGTGTAATATATTTATAGTGTGTTTCTTTAACAAAATTTTTTTTATATGTCTCTCCAGATTTCTGATCCCTCAAACCTAAATAATGGCTTGAGTAGCTTAAAAAACAAAAAAAAAGGAGGAAAATGGACTTGGAGTCTTTAATAACAAACAAGTTCATCTCACACCAAAGAGAAAGAAGAAAATCAAAGACACAATTAGAGAAAACAATTAATCCAATGAACCAAGGAGTGCCTGAAATTCCCTGACTTTGAGACAGAACTAGGTGGTACCTGGCTACCACTATCAACAACAGGTCCTGGATTGAGTGGGTGAAACATGGGGACCAAAGTTCAAAATCAGAAAAGGAACCAGTCTTACTGGTCAGATTGAGATAGGTGGAAACTTCTTAATCACTTTTCAGGCCTGGAAATGAGATTACTTAGTGGTTCCATTTTCAGAGAAACAATACACAGGCCTATAAGGAACACGAAAACTTTAGGAAGGTATGCACTCCTTAGAATTAGTCACCAAGAGAGACCAGTAGGGCCAAGGACACAGTTCAGCAGGCTCAGGACGGAGGACTACCAACAGCAAACACAGGGAGGGTGTTACACTGTGAGGACGGCAATCAATGACATGAAACAATGTGCATGAGTTCTTCACTGGAAAGCTGATCTGCTCTGTTAACCTGCACAACAACAAGTTGGGCTGATTTTTTTCTTCAGTGGTAAAACAATATAAGTATAATTATTTAAAAATTAGTCTTGCGAGTTAAAAGGGCTTCAACAAGTTTGTGGGGGAAACCGATGATCTTTTCTCCATTCCACTTCTCAGGAAGTTTTTGGTATGTTTTGCTCACACTGACATTTAGTTCAAGATACTTTCTGATTTCTCATAGTGATTTTTGTTGTTGGTGATACTTCAGAATTGGTTTTAAATGTATCAAACACCCCAGAAAAAAGATGCCGAATAAGCTACATAAAAGTAAATCGGTGGGGTGAGGGAGTGTGGGGGAAGAGCAGATACCAAGGGCTCAATAGAAAGTAAATATCTAAAAAAGAATGAGGGCAACATAGGTACAAACATGTTTCAATTGATTCAATTGATGTGTGGATTGTAATAGGAGTTGTATAAGCCCCCAATAAATGATTTAAAATAA